ACCAGGTTAACTCTCCAGGACAGGCACTAATGGGAGATGAATCTATAGGACAGGTATCAAACTGTGTCTGACAATAGGGTAGGTTTTCTGAGATTCTATAGCAAAAAAGATAATCTAAAGGAAGAGGTATCAGAAGCTTCACGGCAGCATCATTCCTCCTACAGTACCCAAAGTAGGAAAGTGGAGTCTACTGCCTTACTGATCTAAGATGTGATTAGTTCTCTTAAAATACGAAATATAGATTAGCCAGCTAGCCTCTTCCTTTCTTTCTCCTTTATTTCAAACCCACCAACACTTAGCTGCAGCACAAGCTTATTACAAGCAAAGATTTTAATTACATACAAGTCAATTGTGGAAGAAGAGGGTATATAATATAGCCTGTTATATCCTACAGATAAAGAATATGCTAAATTTGTAGAGGCAGCGGAGCAAAAGGTAGCTCTTGGAAATGTAAGGTTCTGCACCTGGGCATTCCAACAGCCATTCTTCTGCAATGGAAGAGTTGTCTTAGGGAAGGCACCAATCTCCTTCCTTTAGGTATTAAATATGTGAATTGTGTAAAGCTTGGATCTCTGAGAATGAGAAACTTAACCCTTCTGCATCCCTAGAACCAGGATCTCATTTTTTGGTTCTGTGGGTTTTTTCTGTTTTTTTCCCCCCCTCCCCCTCATTCTATTTCTGAGCTCAAGACTGGATTAACTTAATTTCTTTTTGGTTATTTGCTTATTTTTCTTGGTTTATTGTCACATAGTCCAGTTCTTATTCATACATCACATTGAGAAGTAAAAGTCATTGAGAAAATTACCATCTAAACCTTTGACTGGAACCTGATTTGGAGGCAATTTTGATGTAGTACTCAGAAGAGGATCAAGATGCCTTGTCTCCACAGGAATAACATCTGGTTTATAGTCACCAGAGCAGTATTTTGCCATGTTCTTCCCCAGCATCCCATTCACTTCAGATATCGCTGCAACACAAAACAAGTCTCTTTTGCAACGAACATAACACTCTGGACAATGGTAAAAAAAAATGAACCGTGCCGAGTCCGTTGTGCCCAAGAGCATCACTGTAACGGAAAGACCTGGAGAACCAGAGACTGTTTTACAATATTTATGTTATACCTGCTTAGATAACATCACTGCAGTCACGGTCTTCAGTCCAGCAAAGACCCTATCACAAAACTAAGCAGAATTACTTTTCCACATGACCCACCATGTCATGATCTTCAAATGATCTAGAAGGATTTCAAGTAGATGATTTGGAATATTATATTATCAGATCTAACAGTAACTGTTGGAAGAAAGTTGATTAGAAAAGCAGGGATGTACTTAAAAACAGCATCCACCGATAAATGTATTATACAGTAAAGTGTGACATTAAGCAAAGATTACATTTCTCTTTTCCTTGGTTAACAAGTAAGCCTAGTGGCACATTTCACCATTTCTATGGTGAAGTACAAAACGCCTGATGCAGCTCTTCCAGATCCAATGAAACTAGATCAAACCAGTGAGTTCAGCTTGTGCCCTCTGATACCAGAAAGACACCAGCATATGAAACCAAGCTACTTACAGCTCTACTCAGAGCACTGCTCCTCCTTCAGTCTGAAATATCAACTGAACACTTTTGCATTTTTAAATCAGTAGGAGATTTACAATCTTCATATGATTCCTAGCATTTGAATATGGCCAGCTACCTTTTTGTTTTTAGTACACTTATCTCTGCACTAAACAGGACTCGGCCTTATTCAGGAACCAAGTGAACACTTCACTTAATGATTTGACCATAACCTACACAAACATCCAAGTGACTCACCTGTAGACAGCTCTCCTCCAAAGATCACAGCTTTTGCACCTGAGGTTGTCACACAGTAAACCAGAGAATCCAAGCGCAAATTAAAGTTAATAAGAGCTGCTTCAATGCCAATTTTTGCCATCCCTAGCCAGAGGCCAACAAACTCAGGACGGCTCTCCATAAAGATTGCAATGACATCCCCCAGACGGAAGCCTTGCTGGTAGAAGTAGTTAGCCACAGCATTGGAGTACTCATCTAGCCACCTAAAAGTCCATTTCTCACCAGTGGCCTCATAAATCAGAGCCACTTTGTCCGGGTGCCTGCGGACAACATCCTGGAACATCTTCGGAATAGTATTTTTGGCTTTTTGATGCCTTCGCAAATTATACTTGACTCGTAACAGCACTGAGAGGCCACTGCAGCAAAGAAAAAGAAGGCATAACTCCAGCAAAAGTTATGAAGGTCTCAAAGACAGTTTGATATTCACACCAAAACATATTGATTCAGGCTTCTGTGCAGACATACAGACTGGAATACCTCTCTCTGCTGAGACATTCTCTGTGTTATCTGGAGGGCCACTAAATTTGTCACCATTTTTTGTAATTTGAAAAAATTCTTCCTTTTATACTGCATCTCCAATGATGCTTCTGGAGGAAACACTCAGATCAGTTTCCACATCAGGAAAGGAAGCGGAGGCTTTTCTGTCTTCTGTAATTTACATAATTCTTTTAATTTTTTTGAACAGCAGCTGCAAGTTAAACCTTGACACAGTTCAAGCTTTATGACAGTTTAAAAGTCTTTGTCTGAACTTCAACTGTTTCACTTACATTGTTCTGGTTCTCCTGGTGAAAGCTATCTTTAGAGATATACTAGCTCTCTTAATTGGCAAGTTTATTTTCATATCTAAATTATAATTGATATCCAAAAGTACACTTCCATAACATCACCATCAAAATGGGAACAGATCTGAGGGGCATATAATTAGTCTCATTTCCTTCCTGGAGATAGGAAGATGGAGGCAGTATTTTTCCACATCAAGTAGGAAACTGTTGGGCAACAAGTTTGAAAGAATCCCCAGAAACTTCAAAGGTCATTTAATATTAGTACTTAAAACCCCCACAGCTCTCATGAGTGACCGTCAATAGCGGGAACCTCGGCCAGTAAAGCCTTGGAGAAGGGGGAAGGGTCCATTTTAGAAACAAGTTGTTGGCATTTGTCAGATTGAGCTGGGCTTTCACGGTGACCTTACCCTAAGCTGTGCCAAAAACAGAACAGAAGAGCCTTTTCACTGGTTAGCTGCACTTTCCAGATACTTAGGGGGCTTTATTCTGCCTAGTTTATTTTCTGCCATTATTCCCAGCTTCCCATGCAATCAGGAGGAAACAGCTCTTCAAAGCACACTGACAGCCACAGTAAAGCTAGGCAGCCCCTGGCAATCCCAAGAGCCCTCAATCCTTTAGAATAAAGGGCTCTCCTCAGAGAGGCCTAAAAAACACGGAACTAAATGAGACAGCAGTGACCGACTCCCAGGAGATGGGGACAGCCCTGAAGACTTACAAACCTGTGCAAGTCATAAACGATCATTTTAGGCTAGGTGGTCTAAAATCGACTCTAAGGCTAGTAGAAGCAACAGCGCAACTTCACTTCTGTAGGCTTTCATACCTTATCAAGTCATAAACGATCATTTTAGGCTAGGTGGTCTAAAATCGACTCTAAGGCTAGTAGAAGCAACAGCGCAACTTCACTTCTGTAGGCTTTCCTGCCGGCAAAGCGAGCGCTCTGC